CGTTGATTCCGATTTTATGATATCTTAAACCATAACCAACCCGTAGGTAGCCGGTTACGATCCGGTTTGATTAAGGTTACGATTTTAATGGTTTCGATTCGATTTTTTAACGGTTTGGTTTCGATTTGATTTACGATTCAAACCGAACCGGTACCATGTCCGGCTAAGAGACGAAGCTTGGTTGGGTTGGTTCTCGTGTGTACGTCCCTATAACGAGGGAGTAGATGATTATTTTCCTTACTTTTAAATAAAAGTAACTTTTATTTTCGGGCTTTTATTGAACTTTAATAGGCCTCGCAACTACAAAAAAAGCTGTGGGGAAGATCTTTTCTATTTTTATATCCGGTTTCAAGAGGTAAAGAGAATTAAGAATACTTAATTAAAAAAAAACTAATCCAATCCATAACGGTGTATAAAAAATACAATATTTTTGTTGTTTGACCAACCAATCGAGAGAAGAAAAACAACAATTGGAAAGCAATAGACATGTTTATAATCCTCCAAACTACCAACAAAAAAACTATACTATTTGCCTATTGTTAATTGATCATCAACTATTATATAAGTGCTAACCTTAGCTTAGCTCCCAAATCGTACATGAGTTGCAACGTTCGGCTCTTCCAAAAAGCTGAAAGCCCCATCTCTCTAGATTGATCTTTAGCTGAAAGACCCAATGCGAAAACCCAATCCAATAGTATCGCTTGAGCGAAAAAGGGTAATATTGCTTCGTTGGCTTTCGCACCTACCGATCGGACATTGCATTCGACAAGGAATATAAATTGATTACCAATACAATTTTAGCAACCGACTAACAACGGACCCTATAGATTTGTATTATCACCTAGCGAGGCATAGATAAAAATCATGATGGGAATAGATTCGAGTTAATCGGACGGAGGCATGAACCTTTCGCAAAATGATGGCTCACCGAAAGTCCCTTTGGTCCATCTTTCTTAAACTTTGAAGATGTGATTATGTAATTCTTCTAGCCTTTCTTCATGTCTTGAACTTAAGGGGAAGGTTTTCGAAAAAAATTATGCATTTAATGAGTGGATTTTTCATTTAGAGTTTTAGTAATTGACTAAGAACGGACCGTATTGATATGTATTATCGCCAAGTGGGGTATAGATAAAAATCAAAATGAGAATAGATTCGATTGATCCGACGTAAGCATGAACCTTTCTCAAAATGTTGGCTTACCGCAAGTCCCTTTGGTTTATCTTTCTTTGACTAATGTGATTCGTAGTTTTTTAGCCTTTATTCATGTCTTGAACTTAGGGGGAAGGTTTTTGAAAAAATTCATGCATTCAAATGAGTGGATTTTTCATTTAGATTCTTTGTTTTGATTTTTGAAAAAATTTCAAAAACATTTTTCTAATCAAGATTAGCATTTTCATGTTGACGAAGGCGTGATCTTTGGATTAATGTTGATAGTTGGATGGTTTGTAATCCAAACCGATCGTGTAGTTGATGTAGTTGCAATAGAGTTATCGGATAATTTATCTATTTTTGAGTCTATACATTCATCTTTGTTAGCAATTAGATGTATCATTTCAATTGGAGGACGTCGATTGATAGAGTATTAAGACTGGCAAAGTCAAATGGTATAGAATGTGTTAAGAGTTTTTTACTTGTCATTTATGAAGAAGTTTAGAGGTCGATAAATAAACTAGATTGAGATTGGCTTTTTGCCCAAGGTTCCATAGAAGGTGCCACCGATAAGGTTGTAATTCTCGAATTAATATTAATGATTGAAAGATTTCTAATACATGTTGATCGTATAATTGATATAGCTAATCGTATTTTGAATCAATTGAGACAAAACAAGTCCTTGTTTAGTGTTTGAAGTATTTTTTTTTAAAAAAAATTAGCATACAGAGAGAAATGTTTAGCCAAAATAGATGTAATTATATTTAGCTCTTAGTAGGAGAAGATATGTGGTGTGTTGTATTTGTTTTTGAACTTAAAACACATAGCTTGTAACATTTAATGTGTTATCCTTTATATAGGTGGAGATGTAGTTAACTTCGAAGGAGTGGAGAGTAGATCGATCTCTTTTTTTATGTTCAAAAACTCCTAATATCTATTTGAAGATTTATAATTCTTTTAAATGAATGACGTTGTTAACAATACATATGCAATTATATTTGGTGATGATGTGATTAACTTAGAGTTGTCTTGTTTAGAAAAAGTTTTGTCCATATGATTTTTGAATGAAATAGAGAAATACGTCTTATGATCTCGATTCTCATAGATATATCACATTTAGAAATCTTTTAAAATCATATCCCGAAATGATGTTATTTTAGCTCAACCATATATGCAACATCTACTTAATGTTTTTTAGTACCACAAATTTCTCCAATCACTAGTTATACACTTCCGTTTTGATAATAACCCAACCGATATGGAGCTACACATGGGAGAACATGAAAGATACTAAAATGGGAAATTTGGCAATCGAGCCTAAGTGCCTCCAACCTTCCTAGGTGCAAAGTGCAAACAACTAGTAGATGGACGTGAGAGTAAAATATGACGATATAAATGCAATCTTTCCGAGCAAGGGTGATTGTTTAGGCGAGTGAATAAAATTAACATGGTCCAATGAACTAGTACACTATATATATATATATATATATATATATATATATATAAACACATTAAATGATCATCATAATTTATAAATCCCACACATAATTATTGAACAAAACCATCGAGCACTAGTAGTATTTTACAAGTATTATAAATAATTTTGGGGGTTAATGGTCATGGAGTCTTTTTGATCATGTCTTCTTTTTTTTTTCTTTTTCATTTTCAGTTCATTTCTCTACGTTTAGTTTATGTCTTAATCTCGTCTCATCATTAACTTTTTGTTTCTATTCTTCTTCTTCTTTTTTTTTTTTCATCTTAATCTCATCACTTAACTCTTTTTTTCTTGTATTAATCTTGCTTTTTTCTTTTTGAAGTTAAATAAATAAATTTTAAAAGACAAAAAATGAAAAAAAAATGTGTAGATATATCAATTAATTTTCTCCAAAAAAAAAAAAAGAGCGAAGACAAAAATATTTTTTTATCCAAAATATCTTTTATGGGTTTAAATTTATCCGAGTTAGCAAATTTTGAATATAAAATAAAATATTTAGCTTTTTTTTTTAATGTAAAGAGAGTTTTAGATAAATTTTTAAACTTTGATGATGTCTATAATTTAATAATACCTAAAAAAATCTATCGGAATTCACTTATTTTGTTTTTATAAATTTCTTAATTTGCATATTTTCAAAAAGTTTAAAAATGCACACGCACACACAAAATCAATAATATTAGTTATAAAAATATGTATTTGAATCATTAGGTGGTTCTTTTGAAATATTATTTTATTTAAAATAAATTAAATTTAGAATATTAAAAATGATTGAAAAAGTCCAAAAAGTTTTAAACACACACACACACGCACAACAATAAATAATATTAGGTATAAAAATATGTATTTGAATTATTAAGTGATTTTTTATAATATTATTTTATTTAAAATAAATTAAATTTAGAATATTAAAAATAATTAACAGGAAATAGTTGGTGTTATATGTATAGATGGATAGTTAATTTTTAATAAAATCAATTATCTCAATACTTTTTTATATGCATCATTAGATGCTTTGTGGATCAAAGTGTACTATACAAGTTAAAAAATATGTTTTAAAAAATTTAAGTTGTAAGAAATATATTAAAGTTAATAAAATAAAATAAAAATAATTTAAAAATTAATTTCAAAAAATTTGATCATATAAAAAATAAAGCAACAAAACACGTGAATTCTATTATTTATTAGAAAAACATATTAAAAATTCAAATACGAGAGAAAGATAAATCATATTTATTAACAAATAAGATTTCATAAAAATAAAAAAATTAATATGATGAGAATTTTTATAAAAAATGACAAATTTAAGAGATTAATTTTAATAAAAAAATATAATTCAATATATGTGTTTGTTCTAAAATTTAAAAACATAAGAGGACAAAAACATCTTTTAAAAATATGAGAAACCAAAAATATATTTTGAAAAAATAAGAGATCAAAATAGACTAAGTTAAAAACATGAGGTGTCAAAATATTTTTAAAAATACATTTTGAAAAATGAGAAAAAAAGGAATGAAGTGTAAAATTTAAAAATGAATGACGAAAATATTATCAAAAAATCACCAATATATCATTCTAAAAAATTATAAAAATGTCACTCTATGAACAGTAAATAAATAGTGCTTTGAGATAAATAAACAATGATTTACTATTCATGTGTCCCTAATCTTTTAGTATTTTACATATTTAAAAACATAAGAATTTAAAAATATATTTTGAAAAAAATAAGAGAGCAAAAAAGAATAAAAGTAAAATTTGAAAATGAATGTCCAAAAAACTGTCAAAAAATTATGAAAATGTTACTGTAAAAGTTTATAAAACTCCCACTCATGAAAAATAATGAATAGTGATTTGAGATAAATGAACAGTAATTTACTCTAATTCTTTTAGTGTTTTACTTAATTACAAAAACTGCCACTCTATTATCAATAAATAAATAATGATGTGACATAAATAAACAGTAATTAACTAACTGTTCATATTTGCGTGTAGCTTTTTGCTATATTTATTCTAATAAAAATACAGAAAAGGCAAAAAAAACCCCCGTAGAATACACGTCTTGTCAGGTTCCAATTTAGTAGAAAAAGGCAATATAATGGTGAAAGGTTTGCTCTTATATTCTCGGTCCATATTTCTTGTAAAGCATGCAACAACAACAACATTATTAGAAGCAAAAACTAAAGAGGTAGCCAATCCAATCTATCAATTTGAAAACATTAATATTAACGATTCTATTTCCTTTTGCTCTCTCTGTTAAAAGGACATCCCCTGTTATTGTTCTCCTATCCATCTGGATTTTGAATTCTCTCGATTGATACTATAAATCTATAGATTTGTGGAAGGATCGGTTTGAGAGGACATGGGGAGGCTGTTTATTGTGAATCTTGAAGGGAAGATCTATAGTTGCAAGCACTGCAGGACCCATCTTGCTCTCTATGATGATATTGCTTCAAAGGTTGCCTTTTTTGACCTTCCATTATTGAATTCTCTTCGTTTTGTGATTATCTCTTGGAATTCTCATCTGGGTTTTGTGAATTTGGTTTGTTTTTGTGAGAATTATGGGTGCTTTTTGATGGTTGTCTGTGTTCAAGTTATGATGATCTTAATTTATGTTATCATAAGCGGCTTTGTTTGCTAGACATGAAGAATGGATTGGATTAGATGAGGGTGTTTTGGAATTATATGGGCATCCCATTTTTCATCAGGAGTCTATTAAAAAAAAATTGAAGATTATTAAGCTATAGATAGTGCATTTCGAGTTTATTTGGATCGAACTGATACTTAATTAGTGAACTCTTTTTACCTCAACCTGATAAATGAGGAATAGATGCTGCTGCCAGTGGACCGATTTTTGCCTTTTGACAGTTAAAACTGTCAAATAAGCACCACACTGTGGTTTTAGGATCTTAAGTTGATTAGGCTATGAATATATGTTGTTTTGGAAGGTTGGTAACGCTTCGCCTGTTGCACCATATAGATTTTATGCACGTTATGCCGTGTCTGGATCTTAAGAGAATTTCAGTTGTGTATGATCTATTTATGGAAAATAAAATGTGTTTCATAGTTGTTTTTGGTTGATGATTGAATTTGTTGCTTAATGTAGTGGGTCTATGCATATCTTTTTTGTTTTGCGCTTTTGTGATGATTATACATCTCATGCCTTCTCAATGATTTTATTTTGTTTCTGGTTTGTGATTGAATTTGTCGCTTAAAGAGTTGTTTGTTGTTCTTTTTTTTATTTTTTTTCCTTTTGTTTTCCTCTTCCTGATATTTGAACTTCACTAAAGGCTGAGCTATTTAGATGTTATATCCTCATTGGTATTGACAAAATATTGATAGCATACGACAGAAATGGTATATGATCCATTTTATTTAAAGATGGTTCTAACTATTGCTCTAATTGGTTCAAAGCCATACTCGTATAAAGGAACCAACTGAGTGTGGAGAGTGGCTACTTATATGTATTAAAAGTATTTTTAGTAAATGGTAAGGTTATCACACCAAACCATTTGCAGAAGGAACATTTTATAAGTATCATGAATGATGTTATCAAGTAGCATGTAAACTTGGGAAAGCATTATTGTCCATGAAAAGTGGCTGATTTCTGGATGCTTTGATTGATCAAGTAGCTTATTTGCTTTTCTATATAATCAAGGTTATTACTGTACCACCTTTGGACCTAATTGTCAGATATCTTCATTGTGCACACATATACTAACAATTTATATTTGTATATCTATAAGTTGTCACAAGGATAATAATATGACTGTAGGTAAGCCTCTAAGTGTGATCGCAGATAGCAGTTTTCTGTATATTCTTAAATGTCTAGATGAGGCTTGGACAGTAATATGCTTTACATTTTTGTTGATGATAACTCAGCATTTTGGGCTGTATTTCCTGTCAATTTTTCATTCTGTCCAACAAATTTTCTTTGGGGTTTTTATGGGACGCAAGTTTTCTGACTAGATGTTTTGTCTCTGCTCTTTTATTCAGTCTTTCCACAGCAGGCATGGGAAAGCTTATCTCTTCAATAAGGTGTAAGTTTTTCTTGATTTTGGGCTTTGGGAACCTTTTAATACACACTCGTTAAATCTGGAGCTAATTCTATGTTGGACCAACAACCTTAAATATTGTCGATACCGCAAGGTGCTGATCACTCACGTTGTACAAGTGCCTTGATACAGATTATTTGTTCTTTGTGAATGATACTGTTTGAAAGTAACAACTGAACTCAGTATTGATATATACGTGCTCCATCTCAACATTTGTTGGTATATATGCGCTTGGCAAAGCATGGCTTCTACTTAGTGCCGGGGGAAGGGGAGTGGAGAGCTAGGGTTATCGCAAACTAAAGTAGTAAAATACGATGAGTCATCTTTAGTCTAGAGGGCCAATGTAAATCATCTTTGAAATTAATCCAAAATTTGCTTTCAAATGTATTTTAATCAAGTGAGAAGAGAATCATAATTATTCCAGGCATCAAACTTTTTATCCTCAATATGCCATTGTAGTCTGAGTATTACTGAACAGAGCAAGAGAGATGAATGTCATGATGGGCTGCCATCAGGTATCATATTTAATTTTTTCGTTTGCTGAATGGTGAACTAGATTGATTATGGATGATCTTCAGAGCATCCTCAGAAACATTGTTTCTTGCTAGAATGAGCCAGAAGGCATTATATATTCACCCTTGTGGTCCTTTCAGATTTAAATCATCTTGCTTTGTATGACAGAGTGAACATCTCTGTGGGAGAGAAGGAAGATAGAATGATGATCACTGGGCTGCATACTGTTGCTGACATTTTCTGTGTTGGTTGTGGATCAATTGTGGGTTGGAAATATGTAAGATAAGAAAACGGAGATTTGAAAAGAATTCAATGTTTTTGAATGTTTCTTGTTGCGATTAGTTATTTAGATGGTTTCTTTCAGGAGACTGCACATGAAAAGGGCCAGAAGTACAAGGAAGGAAAATCTGTCCTTGAGCGGTCAGTAGTGAACTATATTAGGAGAAAGTTCTGATTCTGGATTGAAATGATCTTGTAAATTAAGGTTGAATTGATTTGTTATTGAGCAGGTTTAAGATGTCTGGTCCCGATGGAAGCCATTATTGGGTGAATCATGAACACCACCACATCGGTGGAAGTGATGCAGATGACATTTGATGATCTGGCTTCTCATTTCCAATTGTACATTCTTTTCTCTTCTGGTTTTCTTAATTTAACTATGAACTATGGAAAACCGAATTCCTCATTCGGACAGCTCTATCAATCAGCTGTCAATAATTGATTCTAGACGTGGAATGTTGACTCTGATCAATTCATTTCCAGTTTCGTATGTCAGTTCATGTTGATAACAATTGCTGAATCTTTGATTGCAATTTCAAGGGTCATTTGTCTGTATAAAGCAACTCTATGATTGTCCATTACATCAGCCAGATGATGTGCTCTTTTTTCTTTTTTTGGTTCGCCTTTTTCACTTTTTTTGTGTGTTTGTTGCCCAAGTATATTATCCATGAGAATAAATTAATCGAAAGGGGTCAGACACTGTAGCATGGCAACTTGATAATGTGGTTAGTTATGATACCCAAGAATAACTGGATATCGGTAGAATTATTATCCAACTTGTTTCCTTCTCAGGAAAAGAAAAAGAAAATATCCAACTTGTTTCGTACTGTTTCCCCCTTCGCCAGCTTACCTAACACATGGCCCAACTGCTTCCCGCGGAAAAAAAGGCTCTTGTAGAAAAGCTGTTAAAAAGAATGATGTTATTTAGACCTTGAGACAGTATTGGTCTTGCTGATGGTTAAGAGGTGTACTCTCTCTTTAGCCATCAAAATTCAACATCTTTAACGAAATTCTCATGAATCTTCTAATCACAACAACATGATTTGATCAGATCAGAGAAGCCGATCCCAATGTGCAAGCTAATCTGAAAAATTCTACTTGATCGAACAAAAGAGAAAAAAAAATTGGTTACAATATTGTTAACCTGCACTGAGTTGCAGATATGCAACACGGCTAGCTGTCTTTTGGTCCAGTCATCTTTTGAAGGGATGAGCACTTTTCAACTAAAAATTTTAGTGACTACAATTCTTCTTCTTGTTTTTTCGTTGTTTTAGAATTAGTATCTAAAATCCAATTCAATCGATATACTTTTTTCCAAAAGTAGCATACCGTACGAATTGCCACCTTGGGAGTTTTTGCACTGCCGAAAACTATTATAGATGATGAAGTGCAGAATTCTACCAAGCTCTGGTGTATTAATATTTTTTTCTTCTCATGGACAGGAAGAATATTTACTATTATATATTCCTGGTAAGTTGCAACATAATGGAAAGAGAATTTGATAGAAAATAAGAAAAGATGCATCAGATTTTTTTGGTCCAATTCCATGTGGGACTGACTGCTCTTTTTTGGTTTTAGTTCCGCAGCATGCTATGATAGAACCCCTCACAAGAGAACTGGAAGAACCTCCATTTCTTGCAGTGTTTCTCATTATTGAAGGGAAAAAAGAACAAATAAGTATCACATTTCTTTCATTCAGCACAAGGACTAAACAGCTGGAGAACATGAGACAGTCATTTAAACCACAGAACGATCTGGGTGGGAGTTGGTCATCATGCTGAACTTCCGAAGAAAGAAGTGCAGAAAATCAATCAGTAATTGTTCAGATAGCTTTTCACCCAAATGGAAGAACAGAATCATCCAAGAGAATAGACCATTCGTTCAGATAGCTTTTCACCCACAACCCTCTTATATCTATGCAACTGGGACTCCAAATAACTCCTATCTTCAGGGCCCAAAGCTCGTCGTAGATCCTGGAAGAATTATTACATAAAATGGCTTAAAATGAAACACTAATTGGAAAGAATAACGTCCTATTTACTTGTTACTTAATCAACATACCCCTCATTAAGGTTAATTTTTAAAAACATCACCCTAATTGCAGGGCATGGAAACACTTATTCTGTTATCTTCTGTCAAGTTAATGCAAGATTCCTAATCATCTACTCCACAACTATATCCAGCTCAAACTAATGCTTCATTGTGGAAGCTTTCTGTAATTGGCATAACTGAAACTATGGAAAGAACTCTATCATATAATTAAGAAGTGAATAGACTTACCTATGCCCTCTCCTCAAATTCATTCTTTTGAAGTTTAGTTAATTTGCAGCAACAGTCAAAAAGACCCAATAAGTATCTTAAATGACAGATTCGAAATAATCTTTATGAATGACATAGTAATGTTGTTTCGGACAACTGTACATCAATTACTAGTTTCCTCAAAGGACACAAATTTAATAAAACATGTATATTGTGAAGAACAAATTTGTTACAAAGGCATCTTATAGTGCTCCCGTTTAGTCTATCACATCGACAATTTTAATGAATTAGTATTCATGCATACAAGAGGAAGATGGAACTGGTACTGAGATTTGAAAATATAAAGAAATGTCAGAGCACGCTAACTTTATTTCTATGCATAACAGTGACCTGAGGATAAAGCTTCAAATAAAAAGTGAGCTAGTATATACAGATCACGAGATAAAACCATTTTTAAGAGTTATGTTTTAAGATCTTAAATCATATGGCATTAAATTACGTACCTCGTATCTCAAACGAGATCCTTTTAACCCAATTAAAATGTCACTGACATCACCATTTTCTGTTTCAACTGATGTCTGACCAAAGGTTTCTGGACCTGGATCATCATCAGAGCTTTCAAATTCAGGTTCAGTCATTTCTTCATCATCATCATCATCATCATCATCATCTATCGGAACATCATTAGAGTCCTCATTGCGGTTCTCATCACCCTGTACTTCCATGACATTTTCAGAGACAAGAGGTTGTGATGACTCTCCATTTTGTAAAAGCACAGAATCTGACAGGACAGCATATGGCTTTCTATCAAGCAAAGGCCGTGCTATATCAAATGGAACCCACCTGGAGATAAAATATCAGCTCATAAGACTGAGAATAACCAGTAGACTAACAATCTAGTTTCAGTAATGTAAGACAAATATGTAACTAAAGATTAAAATGCAGTAAACCAAATGTCTAGCCTCATAATTTATGCAGGAAACCCATAAATATGTAGACCTCATAAAAAGCGTGCATGTAATTTGTCAATAACAAAAGTTCCCTTTTTCTAAATAATCTTTTTGGCTATTCAACTTTTCTTTCTTTCTCTGATAAGAAACATTTTCCAGGAATGTTCTCAAGCAGCCTAGAAGATTCTTTTTATGGACAGGTTCTAGATCATAAATAATAGGAGACAAATTAGTGCCCTCGCTTACTTAAAAGCTTAGAATTTAGCATAAATTTGATGACTTCACAGACCAGGTAACAAGCATCCTTGTTAAAAAGCGAGGAGTTTCAACAGATGTCAACAAATTTTATGGAAAAATGGTTTTAAAATGATGACTTCGGGAAAACATTGAACCTTAATGCTCAAAGCTACCGAGCACGTGGAAACCAAAAAAAAAAAAAAAAAACTCAGTACAAGAAGAAAAGGATAACCTAAGATATCTTCAATCTGAAATATATAAGCTCTTTATGTTTCTTCATTGCACTCAATTTAGATTAGGAGATCTAATATCATCACTCTAAAAGGAATCCGTATATTCTGGACTGCAAATACAAATAACAGTGACAAAGTAGGTTTCAGATCAATACACTAGCGCAAAAACTACTGATTGACAAGAGATTTCCATGCCCCATTATTTTTCTGGTTAGTTGCTAGATTCAGGAGAGCAACTTACTGGTAACGAAGGGGACAGAGAAGCTCAGATGGCCGATATGCTGCTTTATATCTCATCTTACTGCAGGAATGAATGTAATAGCCAAGATAATAATACTTAAGACTGGGACAGTGTACTTCATTCTCTTTCACCCAATCTATTTCTTGCAAGGCTGAATACTTGCCTAGTGATAGAAAGGCAAAATCTGGATCCCAAAATAAATATTTACTTGACAAACATTTAGGAAGGATATCTATCACGCCAACAGCAACTAGACGACCATCAATTACATATTGCTGATGAAATGAGCCAAAGCCACAAAGGGGAACTCTGTCATCACCTGATGGTTGGACAGGTACTAAAGGAGTATCAACCAGAAACCTTATGTATGAGCTTTCAGAGACCTGAGCTGGACTATCATTATGCACTTTTATCTGATATCGTCTATACAATGCAAACTCTTCTGGATCAAAACTGGACCTTTTCAAACGGATCTCAAGCCTCCGCCTTTTTCCCTGAGGATGCACAGAGCTCTTTCTCAAAGAGCAGCCTTTTCTCTCTATTTCAGATTCCTGGGAGCCCGTAGCAATATGGCTATCTTCTTTAGAAGAAACTTGAGTTGCAGCAGTGTAAAAATTAATGTGCCCATTGCAAGCTCTGATTGCCAGACCATTAGTTTTCGCCAATTGATCTAAAGAAGCAGCCAGTTTTTCTGCAATAATTTTTGGAGTCAGGGGGTTATCTTCTGCACTCTGACTTCCATCCTTAGCAATTGATTGTGCCTGCCTTATAGTGGCTGCTATTTGAAATGCAATGTTGCTAGAATACATAAGATCTTCTGCTCCTTCCACTAGTAGTTTTCGTTTGGCTTGTGAGACCTTTTTTACAGAAGCTTTTGGTAATCGAACACTGCAAGGAAATTGCCCACTTTCACTGCATGTCCGAATCACATTGTCAACTTGTTCTGACAAATAATAAGTAATGTGATCTCCCACATTTTTCTCCTTGTTTTTAACAGACAAGGATTCCATTGTTCCTGAGCTTGAAACTTCATTACAGGCACTGGCAGAAATACCAGGGTCCTTGAAAGCTTCCCCTGATTTTTTCGCATCCAATGCACCATCTACGAACCTAGGCATGTAGCATTGTTACAACTCAATAAGGAACTAAGAATATGAGCCAAAACTACTTTCAACATAATTTACCCTGGGAATATCATACAAGCTAATTAGAGCCTATGAAAAAGTTGAACTTTATAAGCCATTTCACAAAATCTCAAACACCTATCAACTTCGGAAATCCTCTAGATCAGTAACTCTAATGAAGGGCATCATAAAACCGGTGCTTTCTGTGGACACCCTGGACTCTGAAGACTGGTTAGCTCAAGTTTGTTAACAGCTTAATGTAGACAGTGAAATTGTCTTCAATCCAGTTGAGAAACAGGAAGTTAATTTTTTCATGTCTTCTAAGAAGAAAAGATTGTGAAATAACAAATTGAGGCGAGATCTATAGCTGAATTAAAACATAGAAGGCATACCTCTGCATTCTTTTAGACACTCGTTGTTGCTCTTTCGATGGAACAAAATCACTTGCCCTCAGACGGATAGTATAAGATGGGCAACAGGTTTTTTCCATATCAGGTTTGTAAAGGAAAGAACCAGATCTTCTCCATCCTCTGTCAAGAAGGTCTGACAATAAAGCATTAGATTAAAAGAGGCCAACGAAATAAAAGTACTACCAGTAAATTTAATAGCTATCACGTAAAGTTGCCGAAAAAAAAAAAAAAAAAAAAAAAACTAGAAAGAAGCATATCATCATACTAACCTTGGTAGTCATCAACCGTTATGCTGTGTGCCCACAAACCTACAACAATATGGAAAATACGGGGAGACAAATTGTAAAAGTTTAATTTTTCGTGATCTAAATTCAGATACAAAAAAATTAATCATGGAACTGCTCTGGTTAATACACATATAGCAAATCCATTGGGCATTTTTATCAAGCATTCAGCATATAAATACGAAATAGAGCTATAGTTATCAAAATTCTGTATAACATAGACAAAGCTCCACTCTTTTTGCTCATACCACAAAATTTTTGTTAGCAAAATCACAAACTTTTACACATAAGCCTTAATTAATTAACAAACACAGTTACTTCTAGTTCCAATTTTGAACTCCTCGTCACCATAGCCTGAACTGAGCCAATATTTTGCTCAGTTGTAAAGCACAACAGACACATTGATCAACGAATTAACTTATTAATTATATCTAGCAAAAAATTAAAAATCTGAAAACGACCTGAATTAACAATAACGATGATACAGATCAGAATCCAGGCAATTCGAGAGAATCGATAATTCGCCAATCAATTGTTTGAAAAAGAAAAAAACGAACACGAACCGTGAGAGACGGTAGTGCGACCAGTGGATTTGCAATAACCACAGGAACTTTTACGGCGGCCACAGTCAGCAACGACGGATTCTCCTCGATTATTATTATTATTACCGCTGCCACTGCTCCTGCTAGTGCTCGCTTCGCTTTTCCTCATCGTCCCTGCCATTCTCCCTGGATCACGAAACCAAATTCACAGCCAGCAACTCTGGAACGATGACTTTTATCTCTCTAACTCAATCATCTTTGCCTGTCTCTGTATTAATTTCAATTCTCAAAGAATCTTTATTCCTTACTGGGTTTTAGTTTTTTGTTTATTTTATTTTATTTACACGTTGCGCGAATGAAGCGTAAAATGAATTTGGATATCCAACTTGTATAGTTTTTTTCCCTCTTTAGGTCCTTTTGGTTTGATATTTTATATATTTTCTCTGCTAGCGGCCTAACTTGCCTTTCAGGGTCAGAAATTCTGAGAATAATCCCGTGAGTAGCATCTGATTTTTACTTCTTTTTCAATCATACCTCCATTTTGTTTTTCCTTTTTCTTTTTTTAATCTTTCACTTGTTACGTTATTTAGAAGATGGTGGAATGATGAGGCGTTTCGTTTATTTGGTAAAAAGGGTAAAGATTTAATCTAATTCTTTTTTGCTAGTAATTTTCAATCATTCTAGCATGATTGGATTTGTTTTCATCCTTATACTCTTCTGCTATTCAAATAATTAAATGGATGTGTAAATATCCATCCTTCCTTCTCTTCGTTGTCATGTTTTTCTGCATCATCCTTCTACAAACACACTCTTAGTGTTAAAACCAAAAAAACAAACGTCATCAAATTTGCTAAATTACTCTTAGTTTAATAAATATAATATGTTTTGACAAATATGATGTAATGAATTCTTGTTCCTGGCACATAAAAAATAATAATTAAATAATAAAAACTATATAATAAATAAATTCAAAAAGATATATAATTAAATAATAAAAATTATATAGTAAATAAATTTATTGTAAATTAAGATAGATTTTAGAATTAAAACTTTTTTATTTTAATCATCGTAAAAATGAAGCTTATGAGCATGTTACAGTAGCTGAATAAGTTGAAGATAATCAGGATAAAGTATAGACCAAATTGTTCTTTTGGAACAATACATGCCTTTTATAGAAATTATGTTTAATACAACATATCAACAATATATTTTATTTTATGCCATCTCAGCAATATAATTATTCAGCCATCCCTGTTATAATTTTATAATTCTGTATTGTTTATCGCTTTATGAAACGAAAAACTCTTATAGAATACCCTCACTTTATTCAAACAATTTTTAAAAATAAAATACCATTAATGGTATACATTTAGAGTATTATTTACACTCTGCGGCATGAACAATGAAATAATCCAAGATTGTTTTTCTCAATCACGATGAATTATGTTTTCCAAAATACACAAGGAGCATTTTTGTAGCTAGGCCAAACCAAGGGTCACAAGAACTATTAATTATTTTTACTGTTGGTCATCATGGCACGTAATTAAATTACTAACCATTAGTATTTATTCTCAAATGATTTTTACACGTTATTAATAAAAACCATAACACATAAAGAGACATGGTTGTGCATTCAGTTTTTTTTTTTTATAGTAAAACATGTTTAATTGTTTTCATTTTTATTTATAAATATCTTAAAATATTTGTTTGATTAAAATTTCAAGTGATGTACTTTATAAAAAAATATGAATAAAAAATACTAATACTTTTTTAACGTGCGTGAAAAGTTAAGAGGACCAAGTTTTATTTTTTTCAATTAAAACTATATTAATGGTGTTTAATGTTTTAGACCAAAACTATTTTTTTTTAAATTAAATATTAGAAAAAAAATCCAACATCACTTGTTACACCGAATAATAATTTGCGTTGATAGTATTTTTCATGTAACTTTTCTATTTATACAGTCTTGCTTTTGCTTTAAGCATTTTGTTGTCGTATTCTATACTGTATATGTACGCTGTGAAAAAAATCAACGCAGCTTGGAGCAGTTCAATGTATTTGAATGTTTCTAGCACAAGTCATGTTAGTCCTCCTACAATGGAATTATTTTGGTTTATGCAGCAGTTGGCGAGAGTCATTTGGACTGCCATAAATGATAGGACCCTCAGATTTTAACAATTCATGCCTGGGTTTTTGTGACACGATGAAAATGAAATGTTTTAATTTTCTTGATCAATGATAATAAATTATATATAAGAATTTCATTCAATTATACAAGTGAATTCACTCAATTATACAAGCAAAACATCCTTTTATATTATAACATTAGAAGAACCCTTTCACATATATTCTGAGTATATAACAAAACTTGAAAATTGCAATTCTTTTAATACTTAATTTAAAAAGGATTAATTTCCTTGTCTATCTTTATAATAGTTCAATTTTTTAATTTATTTATAAATTTTAACACATCTTTACTCTATTTTTATTATTTGTGTTGATTTCTAATATATCATTTTATCAAAATTTTTGATCAATTTATTAAAAATTAATCTTTATATTAATAGATATAAATTACTTGTGTCAAATAACGAACAATTTTTTTATCAAATCACATACTATGTATATATTGCATGTTTAATCTGACTCAAAAATTTAATTAAAATAATATATTATAAATCAGTTTAAATAATTAGAACATATTAGAGGTGTTTTAAATACAAAAATATGTTAAAAAATTAATTTATTGTATATTTTCATTAGCAATTTACGATAAAAATTAATTTATGTTAGAAGTATTTTTGTTAAAAAAAAATGGTAAAAAACTTTTTTTTTTTTTTGAAAAAAAAAGCCGAAGTTATAATTAATAAATTTAAAGTTTCTGGACGGATTAGGTGATTGGTACATGGCATTTAAAGTCCAGTAAAGCTTTATGTGTGTTTCGCAATTCATTGTAAATATCATTGTAACGGTGTGTTTGGATTGAAAAATCGTGTTTTTCCTAGTTGTTTTTTTTTTCTTTTTTTAAATGTTTTCAGCGGTAGCATATGTTGTTTTTAACACATAAAAGAAGAAACATAATTAAATAATAGAAATCATACAATAAATAAATAATAATCCATTATAAATTAAGATGGGTACAAATTAGATATTGTTACCTTTATTATCATTAGAAACATTAGGAATAAAAATCATATTACTATACTTTCATGGCATAGAAATGATTTGACTGTCAAAATAATTTTATCAAAATTTTAAAGTGGCAGGATAAATACATAATTTAGGTTGTTTTCTTAAAAATATATGCACCGTTCAAAGTTTATATATATATATAATAAATCAAATATATGTTGCATATTATTTTAAAAATATAATAAATTTAATTACTTTATTGTGTCTACCTATTTTGCATTATTTGCAAGATTTAGTTTCAACAAAATAAAACTATGCTTACCTAAAGTTGGAATAAAAAGAAAATCAAACAACACGATTTCATTTTTTAAAAGTTTTTTTTTAAAATTTATTTATTTAAATTCGATAAAAAAAGAGAGTAGAGAGACAAAATCAAGATGAAATAAAAAATTGACACGGCAGTCTCGTAGAACTAACGATGTAATTTAAAACCATTAGCTTAAAAAGTTAATAAGAAAAATAAATTCTAGATATAAATCAAATATAAAAGAATGAACATAAAACATACACAATAAAATCAAAAGAAAAAATAAAATGACTCCCGCAAACATTAACTTTTTTCCAATCCTAACATATTTTGAATACCCACTTCAAAAATACAGACCCGTTGCTAAATACACTCTTAGCCTGCCAAGCAAGGTGACTCTCAACGGTTTATCTTGCTAGCCACAGGTCCTATCCCAGCTTGTACTTGATCCGATTAATTGAAAGTTCACGTCAGTAAACAAGGCCTGATTTGAAGTAGCCCACTCCCCCTAGTGGCAAAGCTGTAGCTGGTGCATATCCCATATTGCACTCAATGGATTAATGGAAATGGGCCAACTTGAACTAGCCCACAAGTGCGGGCATCCACTAATTTAAATTGCTGCAGTGTTGTCCAGTGCCTCATATTAGAAAAGATTGAAGAGCAATGTTCCTTTGTCAGCAATATTATTCATCCCCAAATATTTTATTCAGAATTAGTTTTTTTTTTAAAGCAACATTAATCATTTGATGGTTGTTGTTTTTTACTATGTATCCCACAATGGATCCATTTTTTTAAACTCTAGTAACTCATGTAGATTCTTTTAAATAAAAAAATTTAGTCTCGTATTTTTGTTAAGTGTGAATGACAACTGTCTAATTAACAATAACAAGTTGAACTTTAGAAATAAAAAGAATATAAAAAAGAAACAACAAAGATTAGATTTTTTTTTTTTTTAAAGTTCGTATTGTTAGTGGTTGTTTGTAATTTAAGATGATCAAATTGAAGAAGAAATGTATGAACATCTAATAAAAGAGGTTGTATTGCATCTTCTGTTGCAATTTTTTATTTTGATCCTTCAGAATAATTTAGATCCAAAAGTTTAGACTAATAGAGCCTTTTCCACTTAATTCAACCATTTTGGCTTTTATTTCTTACACGTCTAACTTTTTCTTCAACATCCCACGCCCAATAAAATTTGAAAATCGAGCAATTCAAGTGATTGCATATATATATATATATATATATAATTTTCTTGTTATATTTTCCAAAACCTCATGGGATATGGTGATTGCTTTATTATATATTATGAAATTGAGAGTTAAATTACAAACAAATAAGATAAATTTACAATTCCAGTAAAAAAAGAGAGAGAAAAAATAATATTAATTACCATTATAATAGAAAATATCTTGTTACCACGGAAAAAGTCGTCTCCTGTTGGCCAACGCAATATTGCGTAAATTCTTGGTTTCAGGACTATGAAATAACTAATAAAATTATGATTTAATAAAGTAAGTTATTACGCAGTGTAAGTAAATACAATTACTAATCCTTATAAAAGAAAAAAACACAGCTAGTGATAACTGCTCTGCATTGGTTGGTTGCCGAAGGAAGCACAATAAGAAAATGTTCCCCAAACAAAGGGGAACAATAAAAGAAGGAAGAGCACAACCGCAAAACAACTCTACAAATCCAAAATTTCAAAAGCAATTAAAAAAAAAAAAAATCTGAAAACGTAGGCTTTAAGTGAGAGAAAGAAAACTGCCACCCGTAGTACTTTCTCTCTCATTGTCTCCATTATAGTTACAGTTGTCCTCTCTTACAAGAAATCCCACCACACCACACCACACCACACCACTCCCCATTATCACTCAAAAATCGCTACCTTTTCTCTTCAGGTTTTTTACCATTTCACCCTCCTCTCCTCCTCTTAATTACACTCGCTGCCACTCACCTCGTCTCTCTCTCTCTCTCTCCACTGTCTCTCCTTCATCTCCATTTCTCCCATTTTTTCTCTCTAGCTCTCCCCATTATCTTCCAACAGTCTCTCTCTAAAATTTTTGTGTTTCTCTCTCTACAAGTGTTTTTTCTCTCAGCTTTTGTGTCCAGCAACGGAACTTGCTTTAGATTTCTCTCTCTTAGGGCTTTCGCCTAGCAATGGAGCTCTCTTGAAGCTCTGCTGTCTGTGTCTGTAGCTTCAGCTCTGTAAAGCGAAGCTGCCACGAAAATGTGTCGAGTGCAATTTTAGATCTAAAATTCGTGACTGAGAAGCGAATCTTGGTTTTAGCTTTCGATCTGTGAAATTTTGAGTTTGTTGTTGTTGGAGAGGTTTTTGTTTTTTATATATAAAATTTAAGATTTGAAAAAATGAATCGTAGTTTTAGGGCACAGGACTCGCAAATGCAAATGCAAGCAGCAGTGGTGAAGCAAAGGCAACAATTAAGAGCCACAATGATGAAAGAAAAAGAAGAAGAGCTCGCTTTGTTTTTAGAAATGAAGAAGCGTGAAAAGGAGCAGAATAATTTGTTTTTAATTAACAACACTGAAGAATTTGATGCTCCGTTAGGTAATAATGCTTTTTATTTTTTATTATTGTAGATAATTGTTACTATTTTTTAGGTTTTTGATCTGGTGCGGTTTAAATTCTTAAGCAATTTCGTATTTTGGATGATGCTATTGTTTTTTATATTTTTTTTAATCAAAAATTGCAGGGTCAAAGCATGGAACTTCTCCTATATTTCATATTTCGTCTTCGACGCCTGCAAGGAAAACAGGAGCTGATGATTTTCTCAACTCCGAGAATGATAAAAATGACTATGACTGGTAACTAGAAGCTTTTTCTTTTCTCTCGTATCCTTGGACAAATTCCTGTCATCCGTAAGCAGTGATAGAAGCACATTATGTTTCGTTGAATTTTGTTAACTTTATAATAACTTGCTGGTAGCAACTTGATACGATTCTTGTTGAAAAATTTCAATCTAATGGTCAATGTAACATCCCAAAAGTCGTTTTGCCAGTGATCATTCTGCTCACCTCACCCTACATCTTCTGATTCTTGTATCTTATTGAATAAAGTGTCTTAGTTATGACCTGAATGGCTGCTGCATGTTTTTGTAGAAAGTTTGTACAACGCATGCTCTCCCTTTTATTCATTTCTCATGATTGGAAAAAAGAGAAATCTGAAGATTTTGGTGTAAGCAATGCGACAATTAGATTTTCTATTATAGAATTTGTAGTTTCCAAAAACAATGCAGAAGTTTTGCTGCTGGAGTCGTGGCAATCTAAATTGCTATCTTTCATATGAATAAACTGTATGGACATTAAAATTTGGTTCCTAGAGAAGTTAGGCCTGGTCCATTTTCTCGTTTTGGAGGTCTGGCTTCTGTAAGGTGGAAAGAGCTGGCAGTTTCTCCTCATTTATAGAAAGTAAATTCGAGATCTCCAGTTGTATTGTCAGAGTTTGATCATATTTCTATGGAATAGGCAAACTATCAATCTTTTGTACTGTTATTTTCAGAGTTTGATCATATTTCCACAGCTTATGGACTTCTTGATAAACTGCCACAATTGTATAATCAGTAGATAGAAATGTCCTGTTGCCTAAGAACACAACATAAATTTCATAGATGGAGCTTGTATGCGTAAATTATAATACTCCTATATTGAATTCAATTCATTGTTCCTCATAGATGTAATGAGTTAAGAACAGTGCTACTAAACTGATGTTAATGAGAGTTATCATCTGTTTTTCAGGCTCCTAACGCCTCCCGGCACCCCTCTTTTTCCATCTTTGGAGATGGAATCACAAAAGACCATTATGAGTCAGATTGGTACTCCAAAGGCCCGCCCGACTGCTCTGAAATCTAGAGTAAGAGCACTAGTATACAATTTTAAGCTGGATAACCCTCCTTATTCTTCAGTGCTTCCTTGTTCATATTACAGCATGTTACTAAAGTTGATTCATGCAATCCACTTTGTTCAAATGCATTGTGGTCCTGGTTTTAGCTGAAAGGAAAGGTTGTGTTTGGAAATGTCTGAATTGCATAGATTTGTTGCTCCATATCAGTTTTTATCATCAATAAATCAAACTATGCGAGTTTGTTATGAAATACTTGAAGCTTTTGGTATTCATTCATATGATTTGTTTCCTTGACGAGCACCAAGCTTGCCTTGAATTCTTGGATCCTCAAGTTCACAAGATTGTACTGCCGTAAACATCCAATTTTGGAAGAAAACAAAGAGTTTTAAATGTTAGCAACTTGAGAAATTATTCACAATTGAAACCCTTCCTCAAATTTCTCCTCAAGCATACATGATAATTGCTGAAGAATTTGAAACCATAGCTATGCTTGGTGCTTCCTCTCATGTAATAAAAGTTGCTCAAAATTCATGAAGGTGGTCTTCATTTTTTATCTACTTTTCAGAAATTTTTTGGTCTTATGATGCTTGAGTTTACAACTAATGTGTCAAGTGAATTCTGTTCATTGTTGTCATAGCTAGCTAACCCTCAGCCAGAGCCTGTGGCAAGGGGCAACCTGGTATCTAAACAATCAGCTTCCTCCCCTGGGTTGAACTCTTCAGGTGTAGCAATGCGCAGGCCCTCATCATCAGGTGGTCCAGGATCTAGGCCTTCAACGCCAACCGGACGCACCACAGTGACTACAGGTTCTAAACCTTCAAGATCATCAACACCTACCTCTCGAGCCACCCTGTCCTCATCTAAGTCCACAGTTTCTGCATCTAAGCTGAATGTATCTGCAGCTAAATCGACTGCTTCTACAATGAGGTCCACAGTTCCTGCAAGATCCTTAACACCATCAAGGTCTACAGCACGATCTTCAACCCCAACTGCAAGGTCCTCTGCACCTCCGTCCAAGTCTACGTCAAGGGCAGCAACCCCAACTCGACGACCATCTACTCCATCAAGTTCACCTAGCCTGTCTGCACCTCCTGTTAAGTCATCATCATCAGTTTCCAGGTCAGCTCCTACAATTACCAAGTCAGCTCCTACAGTTACCAAGTCAGCTTCCACAGTTGCTAGAAATCCTACACCATCACGTGGCTCTTCTCCAACTGTGAAATCTAGGCCATGGAAGCCCTCAGAGATGCCTGGTTTTTCACTTGATGCTCCACCAAATTTAAGAACTTCAGTACCGGAACGGCCCCTTTCAGCCACTAGGGGTAGGCCTGGAGCACCCAGTGCCCGATCTTCCTCTGTTGAGCCTGCTCCTAATGGACGACCAAGACGGCAATCATGCTCTCCATCAAGAGGACGAGCTGCCAATGGCATTATGCACCCCAGTGGAAGTTCTGTTCCTGCATTTAGTCGTGGGCATTCTAAAATTAATGATAATGTTAGCCCTGTTGTTATTGGAAACAAAATGGTTGAGAGAGTGATAAATATGCGAAAATTGGCACCTCCCAAGCAAGATGACAAACACTCTCCTCGTGGTAATCTGACTGGGAAGTCTTCATCTCCAGACAGCTCGGGCTTTGGAAGAACACTCTCAAAGAAATCTTTGGATATGGCCATAAGGCACATGGTATGTATATTCCGTTTAGTCTTTTTTTTCATTTTGTATTTTTAGGGGACTAGAACCCTTGTAGCAGAACGTAACACACCAGATTGTGTTTCAAGGTGGATAGTTTCAGATCCTTTTACTACATCAATATTTAATGAGATATAGGTCATTTCTTCTATACGTTGATTTGTGCTTGAGTTTTCTTGAAGTCAAACAAAATACGAGTCGGTTTAGTTTCTTATTTTATTCTACTTCTCTTTTAGTTCCTTGTGATGTTATTCGTCTAAAATGATTTGAGTCAAGCAAGTCAGTGCTTTATTTATTTGGTAGTTATTCTGATTTTGTTTTGTATTGAGCAGGACATAAGGCGCACGATTCCTGGTAATTTACGGCCTTTGATGACTAATATCCCAGCATCTTCAATGTACAGTGTGAGATCAGGGCCTGCAAGAAGCAGGACAGCTAGTGTTTCAGACTCCCCTCTTGCAACGAGCAGCAATGCTAGTTCAGAAGTGAGCGTCAACAACAATGGTCTTTGTTTGGATGGGATTGAATTAGAAGATGATATTGGCACTGAGAGAGGTGGCCGGTCCCCTCTACGAGGCAGATGATGTTCAGAATCAAACATTTGAGTTATGAACATTTCCAAATCCAATCACCATGTGTCCTCTTCTAGGTGTTCAACCAGCTTGACAATTGAAAGAGGAACCAATTTCCGGGACAAAAGAAACTGACCAAAATCTTCCTTCCATGATTGATGTAAAGCTTCTTAGATTGATTGGCGATTAAGTTTTATGTAACTCACGCTGTATTATTAGGAAAATCAGTTATAAGTAGAAGTGTCTTTATGACCTATTTTCTACAGGTGGGAGTATTCTGTACCACTGCCAGAATTAAGAAGTTGGCCCCCCATTGTGGAAAGCCATAGATCGCTCCACCCCCTCCCACCTCTGCCTTGCATAATCTCAATTTTTTGTCACTCATCTATCATCCCAATATGAATAGAACCGGGTACGTAAAAATTACAGCTGCTAATTGTTTTTGGATTTCAGCTTTCTTGTCAAGGAAAGAGGCAGAAGCAGATTTTTAGAGCTCGCGTTTTTACCAACCTACCTAGTTCGTGACTAACACCAAGTGGGGTCCCATGCAGTATTACTGTTTATGCTTGATATCTTTCATTAAATGCAATGAGCTTTTCATTTAATGAATTCAGTGCAATCAAAGAACTACGAAGTCTCCCTGAGGCATTAGTTCCAATGCAAAGCGGTTAAAGGGTAGGTAAGGAGTGTGAAACTTTATTGCTCGCGTTTTGGTGTACTGGTGAAATTGAACGAAACGGGAAGGCTTGCATGCGAACTATTACACCATACACTAACACCAAATGACGCCTTAGCCCAGTTGGTATAAACTAATTTCTTACTGTATGTTTTGGTTTTTGGAGGGCAGTATTCAAACTTTGTAGAACATGTGAAATTAATTACAAATCCATTCCTCCAAGTAAAACCACAAAACGCGCAAGGGGGGCATTTTAATTTTTAAATAGGGAACCAAAAAAGAGAAAAAAACCCACAATTAGTGTGAGGCAGGGCTTTAAACCATGAACGTACGAAGGCTCGGGGCCAACATATATTCCTAATCTCAGATCTAGTTCTAGGGGATGCAAAGCAGGCAGACAGAACTCTTTTGAGCTGCACAAAAGAGATTAGGATAAGAAGATAAAAAGGTCAAGCTTTGCGAGCAGCATCATTTCCAACTCCAGCACTTAGAAGCTGGACCACTTGCAGTCATGTACCATTTGACATGAGGTATTACTAAAGATTGATTCCCAAAAAAAAAAAAAAAAAAAAAGGCCTTTAAAAGGTACTATCTTATTTTTCCCGATACAGTCGTTCGATAACAGGACCACATTGCTCAACTGAAAATTTAAGTAATTGGACCACAAAACGAGGGCCCAACACATCATAAACCATCAACTGCTTCCAAAGATTCATAAGCTTGCTTACATCAATTCGGTAAAAACAAGACAGCACTGCCCCTGACAGCTTTCCAAGCTCAAACACACCCACCGCGAATGACTACACGATGAACTGGATTGGTGAAACCATGAAATCACCAAACTTCGTGCTCCTGGGGCATCCAGCTTTACGGGTTGCAACCTCAGAATAGCAGCATACTTATTGCCGGCTAGAAAAAACAGTATTGAAATTTTACAAGCAATATATCTGGTTATAACCCTGCTTGAATGGCCTAGTTTTGTACACATTAAAGACAAAAACAGCAGTCCAATATGCCTGTGAACCATAGTTGAAAGGGTTAGATAAACCAACCAAACTATAACGAGCTCTAGCACCTCTTTCAATACATGTAGACAAAGAAAGCAACAACAAAATTATCAAGCAACAGCTACAGGCTCAGGAGCAGCTACCACAGTATTCGCATTGAGGGAAGTAGTTGCAACTGTGGCATCACTGGTTTTAGCATCAGTAGCAGTGGTTGCTGGTGCTGTTGGGGAATGCTTCAAGTGAGGAGGTGTATTGTGCTTCAATTTCAACAGTATTTGCCGCATCCTTGAGAGTTCAGTTGGTTTCCCAGGCTTTGGGCCTTGGATCACAACAATAGCAGGCTTCTTCTCCTGACCTTTCTTCCCTTTCCTCTTCTCTATAGCGGGCACTTCATTAGGAATGAGCTCTGCAATTGACTGCCAGTAATTCTTATCAGCCTCGGCATGGAATTTTTCTCTGTTGACCATAGATAACTGACAGGGGAAGATGCAAGTCAGGAAAAAAAAATGATTCATATTCCATTATTATTCAGATGTCAGAAACCAAACTTGCTGTTTAAAATACTATCTTCAAAGGAGTGCAGTGTTTCCAAACAGCAGCAAATTTTACTGTTCAATTTTCAGCTGAAGAAAATAGTGATTGAATTCATTAGTAAGTCAAGAGCTACATAGCCAACCTAGTCATGGAAATAACATACAATTAGCTAATTAAATAAATCAATCTCCATTATTTGTGCATCTAAAAAAGCAAGTTGATGCCATACTAGTTTCAATCTTTTTCCTTAGCCAGTCTGCAGTCGATCAGGAGCCCTTCTAAATTCATGAGCATAGAATTTAAATAAGACACAGGTAAGTTACTTTCAAAACGTAGCATAAAACAAGCTATTGATGACAATGAGTTTGTATAACTGCAATATCTGCAGCTTTGATAGTCATGCTGCAAAGGAAGTTGTAGAACCAGAAAATGCCAAAATGAATATTCAAAAGTTAAAAAGGCAAGATAGACCATGCCTGTATTCAAGTATATTTCTACATTGTGCTAGAGGCTTCATGCTTATAAACATGATCTTTTCCTTTCAAGTTTCAGATTACCTGGAATTCGTTGCAGATGTAAGCATCACTTGCTTGACAATAATGAACTAACATATATTATTCTACTTTTGGAACTTCAGTGGAAAATTGAGGTGACTAGTATGAACCAATTGATAAAGTACTATGAAGTAGCCGACAGAAAATATTGGCATGTAAACAAGTAACATCTACTTATGTGATAGTACCTTGGATGACTCCATGACGACAGAATGGAACTATATGCCCCCCATCTCCTTCCTCCTTCATTTTATTTTATATATAATACCATAGAGGACTTAAATTAATAATCATCCAGAATTCATATCTCTAGTACTATGAATTTTGACCAGAAGATCCTAGTTTGCTAACCCAATTGAGTCACAACAAGAGAACCTTGATTGGGAGAATCTATTGATTTCTTATCCCATTTTCACATTGTCAAAGTAGGAAGCAACTCTATGATTATTCTCTTAGAGAATGACCTCATCAAAATAATTCAAAACCCGAATGCATCTAATGCAACCACTCCAGATTTCTAATCCTTCCCATCGATCATATTAGAGTCCTAGCCACATAGAAGTTACAGCAGCATTAAATAAACTTACCACATCACACTTTTAAGAATATAATCTTTCAAATAGTTTAACTAAGCTCTTCCTTGCACACGATATACCACAAAAGAATACCCATATAATGGACTTAATGAGCACCTTTACATGCACAGACTTATACAGCTTGCTCAAATGAAAGCTTAAAATAACATTTGCATTACTCTGTCGCCCAAGATTTAACAGAGCAAGATACTAAGGTTATAAAAAAAAGAACAAATGAAACAGCAACACCTGCTGAAGAGCAAGTACAAAATGAAATCTGACCTTCTCTTTTTCCCTGTTACTGGTTTTATTATTGTCGCAAGTGATCTCCCTCTTCCTGTAAAATTCAACTTTATAATCTTCAGCTTCCTTGATTATTTGGCTCAATACCTCCTTTTCCCTCTTCTCCTTATCCTCCAACAGTATCGCATTTTGCCTTAGTATCAAAAACCGGCAAACATAATTAAGCATGATCATCCTTTTTTTAAAAAAAATAATACTTTCACCAAATTGAGTCATTCAAGACCACAATCAAATATATTAACATAATTACACTGCTTAAATCATTTCAAAAATCATTCTTGATCCATGCAGATGAAATAAAATTTCACTGATTCAAACAAATCTTAAATTCTTTTCATTGATCAAAACTCCTGATTATAATTAACTCTCAAATCTCACTGTTATCACGGGTCTAACACACTGAATGTCTCCAGTTCAAGTCCGGTTGATGCCAATTTTCATAAATTCATAACACCTTTTTCATCTTCCTCAAAATTTCACAGCTCGAAATGAATTAAAACAGAGTTATGGTTTTTTAATCAAATTACCTTTAATTTCCCTTTCTAATTTTATCAGGAACCACACAGAAAATATCAAACAAACACAAAGAAATAAAATTAATTAGATCTACCTTCTCCATTCTCTTAGAGCAAATCCCTGATCGGCCTCCATCTCCGACGGTGGTGGCAAAATTGGACCCTCCGATCCACCAAACCCACCGTTCTCTTGAGGAGAGATCGGTGGCTGCGACTCGAAAAAATCGTTGCCGGCAGCGAATGAGTCGTCCAAGGGCTGCGAATAGTGGCCTACGTAGGGAAAGTCATCATCAAACGGCCGATTTGACTCGGTTTGTACGACTGAGTCGTCGAACGAGTCGTCAAATGTGGACATTGTTTTTGCCTTCTACGTACGAACAAGAAAATGGTTTCTCTCACTCTGGGTTTCAGGCAGTTAAATTGAAAAGGAGAGCTTTTGGTTGGAGAGGGAGCGTTACGAGTGATGTTCGCGAGGAGAAATTATTTGGGGGGTCATTGAGCTTGTGTGTGTCCATGGGCCGAATAATTAGGCTGCTTCGTATGGGCTTTATGGTGTGTTTTTCATTTTTCTTGTTGCTATCTACTTTTCACGGCTATTTCGTAACTTAAACCCATTCTAGAAAACAAAAGGAGTAAATTATAAATTAGTTCCTCTCGATTTCAAAAAACGAATTAATTAATAATTTTTGTTTCAAAAAATAATTATTTAATTTTATATTTTTAAATATGATTTTAATTTATTAAAATAAAAACAGAAAAGGAAAAAAATATAAAAAATTGATGAAAACAAAAACATTTTATAGAATAAAATTAATATTAAATTAAATATGGTTAACATTGTCCAAAAAACTAAATAATAATTTTTAAAATAAGAAGAATCAATTAATTCATTTCTTAAAACTAAAAAGGACTAATTTATAATTTACTGAAACAAAAGAGGGTAGAAAACTTTGACCGTTTGTCATTTTTTTATTTTATTTTTGCTATTATAGAATTTAATAAATGTTTGTTATTTTACAATCTCTCTTCATTATTGCATTATTATATTGTACATAGATGGAAATTAAAAAGTTGCCAATGCTGCGATAAAAAAGATAAAATAAAATCTATGGCTTCTGGAAATTGAAGGCCTTAATAGAAAAGACAACACAGTAACCACGCAACCATTTGGGTGTTTAAAACCAAAATAATCTTCCAGAAATCGTGGCACTGTTTCACCAGTGGCAAGTGTTCTCTTTGTATATATCTTCGAGCTGTCATTCAGTTAATCCATGCAAGGTCCATGCTAGTGGAGGAATACCATCTCCACCACACAGGTATCCTCTGCTATAAAGCAAAAAATATTATAGTTAACAACATTAATTAATATGTAAGATGACTAAATTAAGAGCCTACCTAGCGAGCATTTCAAAAAACATTTATATATGCAAGCAAGCACCTACAGTTCCGAGGATTATGAATCCTGAGAAGAGAAGAAGGTTCCATATTGGATAACTCGAAACTGATAATAATATTAATGCAATTTCCAGGTTTGGAGTCATGGCATGGCGACCACCATCATTACATACATCAAAGTGAAGTACATGCGGAATATTATAGCTTGAAGAAATATATATATGGAATCTCGATTCGGACCTGCAGAAAATTCTGATGTTTGTTAAAGAAATACATTTCTTTGTTGATGGAGTAATACTGAAGCCTGTAACATATGGTAATTAAGATCGATGATACCTGTACGTGCGAGGGCATAGGGCAAAGCTGAATTCAGTACTGAATTCGTTTGGAAGCAGAGAAAATGGATTTCATAGTTCTCCTCTGTCTTGAAGACAGTTCTTTCAACAGACAATACTGGCTGTTACACACGTCGCATTTTGCACACCAAGGAATACGATACCCGCATACATTGAACCCCCTGCATTTAAAAGATCTTCGGAGTAATTCCTAAAGTTTGCAAGACAGAGGAGTTAGATTAGCATATAGAAATTAACAAACCATAAGAGTTTTCAACTTTTAAATTGTTTTTGTACCTCCACCATGACTTACATTTCAGAGCCAAGGTTCCAGAACATTGTCCCAAACACGAAGGTTATAAGTGTTGTACAGAGAAATCTCACAGCGTTGTATGGCAAATTCCTCCAGTATGACCAATGTTCGCTTCCATAAGCAAGCCATGCGTTGGGTTAAAAATGATGTTGAGTACCGTGTACAAAAATAGAGGTCTTTCGAGCCAGGAGCAGGTGTCTTTAATTCTGCAATAACAGATTTATTTCTCCTGATTTATGCCACCCATTATCAATTAAAAAATATTTGATTGTATTCATATCAGTTTATCCATTTCATCAAGTACTTTATTTGTGCAACTACATACAGCTCTGAATTCTCGTAAAGGTTACCAAAACCGACTCCTAAAGCCATTTCTTGTGCTGAAGTAGTGACATCCAACCTGGATTACAGCCATCTTTAGTTTTCTTGACTCCTTCAATCGCCTTGACGAGTAGAAATGTATCCGAATTAATCAATGGTTAGTATAAATTAACAAAAGGTATGAAGATAAAAAGTAATCAATTTTGTGCATCACATCAAACATACCTCAAAGTATTTAATTAGATGGGTAGAATGGTGACCCAATGGTCCCACGTATATGTCTTAACGACTCATTTTACTGGAAAAGTACTGAATTCATTTGGAAGCAGAGAAAATGGATTTCATAGTGCTCTAGCCAGTTCTAGTACTTTGACAATTCTGAATGTTTGTGTCAACAGGTTAGGAGAGGTCGCTAATGATCGCACTGGGCAGTCTGTCAACATAAATGTATCACTTTGGGGTTACAGGAAATTACATATCTGGAGGCAATAAGCTACAAAATTTAGAAGGACTGTCATTTTCTGCCTACAGAGTACTCTGAGGAAATGTACCTCTTCTCTAGAAAACCTAACAATGTTGAGCCAGCGATACGTGGATAACAAGAGATTACAAAGAAGCATCCCGTTTAGTATAGGAAAATTGCAAGAACTTCCGTCATTAGATAATCTTTGTCAAAATGACCGCAGAGGGAGCACACCAGAACAACCTTTTCCCGCTCTCTCTATTAGCTTCAATAAATCTAGCTAATAACCAACTTGCTGATTCGTTTTCTTCTACTGCCAGTAATCTGAAGAGTTTTAAGTGGATTGGATCACCGCGGAACAAGTTATCTGGTGAAATTCCCAGTAGCCTTGGAAGATGCACCAACGTGCGTGGGAAATTAAACATGCAAGCTAATTCCATCAAGGAATCCATTCCTACATCATCTAGCTTTTCGAGGGGTATTCAAGTTCTTGGACCTTTCTCGTAACAAACTGTCCAGCGAAATTCCAAATTATCTGGAGACAATTCCAATAATGACGTATTTGAATCTTTCCTATAACAATTGTGAGGGCGAGGTTCCAAAGAAGGGAATTGTATCAACGGGAGTGTGGCATCAGTTGTTGGAAATTACAAACTTTCTGGTGGTATCTGTGAATTGAACTTGCTTAAGTGTCCCGGCAAATAACTAAGGATACATAAGATGTCTCGTACTGTGGACTTATTAGTAGTTGTGAATTGTGATTAATTGCTCGTACTCTTACTGTAGTAATTATTTTGGAGTACTATCACCCACAGATCCAATGGACATGATAGTTGGAATTAATTTTGAAGTTTAGAATAATGTGAAAGTGTCTTTTTCAAAATGTGTCTTAATTTCTAGTTTTTTTTGGATGCATGTATGCATCCCATTAATAATGTAGCTATCTTTGAGTCTCTATAGTTATTTTTAGACTACTATGGGTATTTGTCTGGTAAGAGTTGTAATCTAAATCCAAATCATGCGGCTTCTCTCTTAGGAAAGTATGAGAAAATATCAATGATATGTCTTTCACCATGCTTTCCTTGCCTACGGAAAATGACATCCAAAGAAAAAAATAGAGATGTAAGATGATAGAGCCCAATAAGAGAATTGAGACCTTGCATAAAAAAAGAGATAGAAGAAGCTCTAGAAGGGTTGAGTGCAAGCTGGTACAAGAGAGACCAGACATAAATAAGCGAAGGGAGAGCTCTTCTCAAAGAAAGGAAAATGGCCAAGTAGCCATGATGCAAAGAAGACAGGAATCTGATGAAGAGTGAGTCAAAATAGAATGGTCACTTGAAGAGTCAGTTTGGCCAAAGAAATGTGGCAGCAGCCACAAGAAGAGAAAAATGGCTTAGAGTAGCCATGTTTAAGCAAACACAACTGCTGAAGAAAAGAAGATCGAAGAGATGGCAATGAGATGCTATTTGCTAGCCATGATGATAAAGGTTGGCTAAGAAAAAAAATCCAAGAACTTCGCAAGCTCAAGATGAAGCAGTATAGTGGCTGTCTTTATCATCAAGAAAAGATGAGAAAGGTTGTACATACCATTAATAATATAGATTTATCCTTGAGTCTCTAGAGTTATACTACTATAAATATTGTCTGGTAAGATATATATATAATCTAAGAGCAAATCATGCAGCTTCCTCTCCGAAGAGGGTAACACAATATCAATGATATGTGTTACTAAGCTGCTCTTGCTTAAGGATAGTTTAATTTCAAAGGACTGAAGCTATGCCTAGTAACTACAATCATACAGACAGTGGAACCAATATTCATACTGTTGGTTCCGCTTAGTGTTATTTATAAAGCAGTCTGATAATGTCAAAGACCAATTTTGCAACGTGATTTTTCTGTTTCCTTTACTTTGTTTTGTTTACAGACTAGCTATGTCTAGCTCTCACACCTTTTTTTTTTTTGCCTGTCTTTGGTACTTGCTAGGGTGCTAGTGGAACACAACGGCATGATTTTGCTTCTTTACCCAAGAGGAAGAAGTTGAAACAAAGAAAACATTATCAAGTAAGCAAAGATGGCATGCATGCTCCTTGCATGTGCCTCCTTATCCTTAAATCTGCTTTCGGAGGGTTCCTCAATGGTTTGTGTTTTCTTATGGTGCTGCTGAATTCACTTTTTCGTGGAGCTTAATTAACTTCTGAGGATGCATGAGAATTGGGGCCGGGGAAGTATAAAGCCGGTGTAGGTTTTAATCACTATATTCAATAAAGTACTAGCAAAGACTGACTACACAATTTAAATTCAGTCATTCGATATAAAGGCAACCAGACAGTCATGAAATATTTGTAGCCGGCAGGGATGAATCCTCCTAATAAATATTAATTCAATTCTTATACTATTTATGAAAAAAAAAAATACGCAACTCATTATTTATTAAAAAATTACTATATAAATTTTTATTTGGTCTATATTCAGTTATTGTTAGTTTACTCGCTTATTTAATACCTGTTAAATTTAATTTATCAAAAATATTTGTTTTAGTCTTTATAATTTCAAGAAATTTTTTTTTGTCCTTAAAATTTAATTTTTTTTTATATTTTGATCATTTATTTATAATTTTTTTGATCCTCAAAGTTTTTTTTAAAATATTTTGCCCTTTAATTTTTTAAATTTTATACAATTAGAGTTCTGCATATTAATAAAAAATCTAAATAAATTAGTTAGTATTAATAGGATAAATAGTGAGTATCTATATCTTAAAACTATATTAATGAGTATGTATTTTTTTACTCTTACTTACTTTAATACCCATTAAACATTCATAATAAATATTTATTAAATCAGATAAAATAAATATTCATTTTATACTCAATTTATTATCATCTACAAGTAACCAGCCAGTATCCTGCCTTTCAATTTGTAAGATTCTATTTTATGGGTGCATGTATTTGGAAGGTAGTAGGCTACGTCCAACACAATGAGCCAGGGTAGTCCTCTCCCTTGTTCTTTTGGTTCCTTTGTATTAGCCCGCCGCCCCACCACCACATTGGTGTTTTTAGGACAATAATTTGATCTTAAATGCTCTGGGATAACTTTTTAGAAATATTATGTATTAGAATAGTAGTAGTTTTTATAATAATTAAACCTTAAACCTAGTTGACAACCAAATTATGATTTTTATACACATAAATTAGAAAATACAACTATATAATAATATAAATACCTAATCAACAAGTACTCAAAAGTTATTCACTTAAAAAAAAATCTAAAACTACATTTGATCAGTTGAACTTAAAGATTTAAAAATACAAATTCCAAAGAACATGAGTTGAGTACTAAATTGCATAATATTGATAACCAAATACATTTTTTTATCCAAAAAATAGAAGAAATATATTAAATAAAATGCATACCAACCGATAGTATATGATACGATTGATAACATTTAACAAAATTTATCTCAAAATATAAAATTTTAGATGGATAATTTGTTTATTTCTCGAAAAAAAATCATAAAATTAAAATAATAAAATACAATAAAAGAATCTTGTCACTATACTTCCAACCCGAGAGACGAGGTAAAAAAGAAATAAAGAAAGAAAACCCCTCCCTTCCCTACTCTCCCACCTCGATTTCACCAATACTCGAAACTCTCACTCGTTTAAATCCAAATCCAAACCCCACCCCTCATTCTCCACCTGTATGGCATCTCTCTGGCGGGCCGCGACGGCCCTAACCCAAACCCAATCAACCCAAACTGACGGGGTGGAGTTCTGGTCGAACCCAGAACGAACCGGGTGGTTAACGAAACAAGGAGAGCACATCAAAACATGGAGACGCCGTTGGTTCGTTTTAAAACAAGGGAAGCTCTTCTGGTTCAAAGACTCCACCGTGACTCGGGTGTCTAAGCCACGAGGCGTTATTCGAGTTGCCTCTTGCTTGACAGTTAAAGGAGCCGAGGATCTGCTTCATAAACAGTACGCGTTGGAGTTGTCTACGGGGAACGATACCATGTATTTTATTGCAGATTCTGAGAAGGAAAAGGAGGATTGGATTAATGCGATCGGACGGTCTATAGTTCAGCACTCGAGATCTGTTACTGATTCTGAGATCGTTGATTATGATAGTAAAAGATGATTATGATTATGTATTATATATGCGTACGTGTTATTTAGTTTGCTGTAATTTTTTTTTTTTTGGTAAGGATACTTGTTTAAGGGGTGATTAACCAGCTCTTTTATTAATTGGTTGGTTGATTGTGTTGGTTACTGCTGGTTGATCGTGTAAATTATGAATGTTAATTAAGTCTGGGATTTTAATGACGTGACTATGTAACTTTTGAGGAAACATTCCAGTTAGTAAATGATGGTTTTGTTAGAAGTTTTTAGGTGTCAGATACCGTACTAAATTTGGTCTCTGTCTTCTTGAGGGTGAATATGGTTAGAAATACCAAGATCAAGAGTGTTGTTTAGGTTGATCATCTAGATTAGATCGTTCGGTTAGTACATTTCTATCATTAGTTATTTAAAGATGCCTCCATCTGACCTGAGCTGCTTTGAAATTCTCTGCTGGTTGCAGAGAACACCGTCTTATCAAGGAACAACATTGCCCGGGTTGAAGTTATGGACACAGTCAAGATGCTAACGTGCAGAAGCAACCATTAAAACTAAATGATACGCCCATGCTCTAGAGGAGGCTTACTAGATTTGAAGCAGAGGTGATGTTGGAACGTCTTTTCTAGTTTTAAAATGCAAAAAGCTTTATGGACTTTCCCTGTTCTCTCATCATGTCAAAGAATTTCCTTTGAACAAGACCGCTAGCTCCCCAATATGAAATCTTCTTTTGGGGCTTCAGTTGTGGCCTTTCCAAGTTTGCAATAAAAAAATATCCTCATGCTTTACTATTACTAGCATTATTATAGGCGGAAGAAAAGATTGTTTTTCAGCACAACCTTGTTCAACAATAAAGAAGCATGTAACTAACGTTAAGCACGGGGAGCAATTGCTTGTATTGTAAGATTATGAGGCAGCAGAACACTAGTTTTCTTGCTTTCATGGATGCACTGCAGAAATTGAAGAAAATGCCATAACTATGCGATAAATCAACTTGCATTATGATGGATAAGGGATAGAAATTTAGATTTTAGGGTGACTCTTAGGGATATTGATCATATTGCTAGATATTCTATTTTCTGTTCAACCACATGGAAAATGCTATCATCCCCTGCAAATGCAAGAACATCATCCATCCGATGTAGGGATAGTAATCTGACTCGTCCCGCCCTGCCCCGTTTGGGGAAGAGATGGTACGCAAAATATGTCTCGAACGAAAAACGAGACAAGGACGGAGATGGCCATCCCCACCCCGCTCATCCGCCCTGCCTTTTCCTTTTACCTTTAGAAATGACAATCTGACAGAATCCCGTCCCAATCCACTCCCGCCCTGTTTGGGACGGAGATGGTATGCAAAAGATACCTCGAACGAGGCATAGGGCAGGGACGAGGATGGCCATCCCCGCCCCATCTTGCCCTATTGCCATTCCTAATATGAAGAAAAACATACATGCATGCTTGTGGAACGGGGGAGGTTCTGAAACTCATAGCGTTCCTTTCCAAATATGAAGCACTGACATGTTGCAACTATGTCATTGGTATTTGCTCTCTCCAGTCTCCACCATGTCATTAAGAACAGGAAAAAAGAGCTTTCAGACAAATAAATTATAAGATTCTATATAACTCAATCGCCAATGGAATCCATAAAGCATACATAAAGAAACCATCTTCGCAGATACCATTGAGGTTTCAATTTATGAATCCCTGCATACAAGTCACTTAAAAACCTACTTGCCTTGGTTTTATTTCCTGCTTGTCCCCATGCTTGGATTTTGTTTATGCTCTAAATCCAACACAAGTTAGACCTACAGTATAATTTCTATCCATTGAGGAAAATTATCTTAAAATTGATTACATATTGGATCAATTTATAACATAAATCATCGTTAAAGTTAACAGTTTTCCTGTTTTCAGTTAATTTCAATTTTCCAATCAATTGGTGTTTCTAGTCAGAATTTTATGATTTTCAACGGCAAGTTAAAAAAAAAAAAAAAAAAAAAAAAAAAAAAAGGAACACATATTTCCATGAAAAACAAACCTTACTATTATCTATTTTGTGTGCTGTAAAGCAAGCTAACAATTGGCTACATTCTTTTCTTACTCTCTTCCTCTCCTCAGGCAACTCTAGCTTGCTTCCAAAGCAGGTTGCTACATACAAAAGGTCAAGCTGCTATATCTGTATCTGTTGCTAAACCTCATGACTTGTTAACAAAAGTTGACTCGGCCAAGTCTATGGCACGAGCAAGTCCAGCAGCTTTGTTCTGGCATTCACGGTGCTCGTCATCAGGTACACTGTCTGCAACTATACCAGCACCAGCTTGAAGGTAAGCAATCCATTCACGGCGTAGCTGAGCATCCTTATATGAGTACATTGTGTTGTACTGAGTTCCAGTTGGGAATACCATGGTCCTAAGAGCTAGTGCAATGTCCATATCACCGGTAAAGGAAACCCCACCCAGTCCTCCGCTGTAAGGGCCACGCCTCGACACCTCCATTTGGTCAATCAATTCCATTGCCTTCACCTGTATCAATTTAAATGATGATCACCGGAATTTGAAAAGAAGGGAAAGGAAGATTGCATCTTGACAAACTTTCATAGATAGCCTTGCCCCTACAGGTGCAGTCACAGGGACCCCAGAACCAAACATGCTGTTTTAAAGCATAAATAGTGACCAAATAATGTTTGTAATTTTAGTTCAGCCCAAACAACAGGTCAAGTTCGGAGCATCTCATTAGTGATTTAAGAATCTATGGGACACAAGAATCAAGTTGGGCAGAAATGGGATATGATAAGACTAAAAGCAAACCTTTGGTGCCCCACTGACAGTTCCGACAGGCAATGCAGCACGCAGGGCATCCCAGCAAGTGAGATGATCATGCAACTCTCCCGTGACCTGCATTGTGAGAAAAACATGGTTTTCATCGGTAAAAGTTTGGTTTTAGCTAATCAGCCAAAAGAGGACGAGTCCTCATCTATATTGGCCCTTTACATCTCAAATCCACATGAAACCAAATATTGCATTGGAAACTTCCATGCCATTGTCCGCACAACTTAATTGCACAAAGTATCAGTATCACCGTCAATAACATTATAAAGAAAAATAGGAAATGATTTCCTCATATAACCATCAAAATGGGCCTCTGACAATGTTTTCAAGAAAAAGAAATACAAACAGGCCAATGCAATGGAAGCAAAATAGGAGACATTATACTTGCATCATAAATTTTAAGGCATTTATAGAAATTAGCTCTCCTTCGTGTCCAACTCTCAAATCAAATAATAAAATAGTTTTGAGTATGAAAATGACAACACATGGCGATAGAAAACATATAAGCTATCATATAAAAGCTCAACCAACAATTAGATTTTGTAGGCAGAGATTCTCACCGTGGAGCTTATGTGCATTACATGGGAATATCGTTCAACATTCATAAGCCTTTCCACCTTCACAGAACCATGTTTTGAAACCTGCAATCAACAATCCAGGTTACAATGGCTTGTCAAGCTACTTTACTAATGAAATATAGCTCACTCTTTTTGAAGAACATCTATCTATTCAACATTTGAACAAAGTAGGTGAAACGCATTTAACAGAGAAAGCAGGAAAACAACAAACAAATAAGCAAAGAAACAGCATACAATGTCATCTGTTGAAGAAAAAATGCATTGCAACAAATAAGAGAAGAAGATGATATACGTGCATTTTTCGATAGACAAGAAATTCCATCCACTTTTTATTTTTTATATTCCAGAGGAAGAAGATATATCCTAATTTCAAGAAATTCCATACAGTACATGGTGACAGAGACTTTGAACAGAGTGACATAAATCTTTGAGATAAAATTCAACACAAGTAACACCACATCAATTGACCATGAGCTTCAATAAATGCAAAATAACATTAGCAATCAAATATAAAACCTTTCCAACGTCATTTCTGCCCAAATCAACAAGCATAGTATGTTCTGCACACTGCTTTGGATCCTTTAGTAACTGTTCCTTCAACATTTCGTCTTCTTCAGGTGTCTTGCCTCTTCTGACAGTCCCAGCCAGTGGCCGATTGACTACCTTATTCTGTTCAAGAAATGTAACAATGAATTTTTTTAAAATGTACTAAAAACTAAGAAAGCAAATCAAATGAACATAAGAATTCATAGAGATCTGCAAACTTGATCAGCTTTAATATAAGTAATGTTAAAAACCAAATATGGTACTGTCGGAGCAGAGCAAGTCATTTGGCTTGAAATATCATACTAGTAGTAGAAAATTATAAATTTAGCATTCTACCTTCTTTACACGGGTAAGAATTTCTGGACTTGAGGCAACTAGAATACACCCTCTAGCCTGTATGGGACAATAAAATTTGCATTATGAAAGATGTCAAACATTACCAGTTGTAAATTACCCAACGCACTGGAAAAATAAACAGTATGCTAGAAGAAAGCACATACTTGCAAGTAAGTCATGTAAGGACTGGGATTTACGATTCTCAATGCTCTATATATTTCAAATGGGTCAGCAAAGGTTCGGCGTTCAAACCGCTGACTCAGTACTATCTGGAAAATATCCCCAGCCTGGATATGTTCTTTCGCCTGTAGTACTGCTTGCTTATATTCATCACTGGTCATGTTTGAGTTCTTCAATAAGGGACCAAAATGCTGAGTGTGTAATCTTACAGAACCTGGAGATAGCCTTGGGCTAGCAGTGACAATTAATCAAGAAGAAAATGTAAATGAACTTCAGAGAAAAACAATAGAAGAAAATGAAAAAGAAGAAAAGTAACTCACAGGTCAACATCCAGTACTCTGGCCAACAATTTTTCCAAACGTTTCATTCCATTAGAGTAAGCATCCTCAATAGAAGAGTATCTATCTATCTTCACCCAATGAATTATGTATGCTTTCTGAGAATACACCAAACAATAAATTTAGAAGCACAAAAGCATTAAGGCAAGGAAAATAGCTGGAGAAGTACTGAAAAATTACATTTTCTTTATCTAGCAAAATCTTAATATAAACATTCTGTTATCTATATTAATCTTCAATAAGCAGAAAGCTTGGGAAACGAATAAAATTCGTCAAAAAAGGACAACATGTAATGACAATGCACCAAAAGATAGAGCATAATGAACTTGCACATAGCTTAGTAAAGTGTGCATTTCATCTTGTTCCATTTAGTTGCATGCACATTAAAACAAACCTAAGAATTCTTACTCGGTTTTTTGTAAATAATTCTTTTAGTGTGTTTATTTAAACATTTGAGCAGGAAATAGAACGTATTGACTATGATGTGATAGAAATGAAAAAAAGCACAGATACTACTTAAAATCTGGAATCAAACCAAGACTTTAAATTGTTAATAGACAAAAATAGGATACCTTTTCTACATGATCAAACACAATCACATCATCATAGAGACCCAGATGTATGTCTGGAAGATTCCTGTCATCCTTGGGTCCCCTTGTAAATGGCAGCCTTTTCTTCTCCACATATCGAACAGTATCGTAAGAGAAATAACCAACCCAGCCACCTGCTCATGACGAGGATTACCATTAGATATGGCCATAAAGACTGTATGTAAACTATATTGATTAAGAATATGTAAAGAGATTCAACAACAATAACCCCTCTATGGATAGACAATATAATGATATAAAGGAAAAAAAGGATGCATCTGACTTTCCAATTTGGCTGTAAAGCTATGTAAATAAATCCATAATGATCAGGTGGGGGTTGAATAACAAAGGTGCATACAGATATTCAAAGCAAAACCCGCCAAGGCATTCATCATTTCTACTAGACATGTGCATTTCCATGGAAATGCTGTATGTAGATCATACTAGATGATTCTACTACAACTGGCATTGTCGTATTCCTTGGAGTTTGTTGGTATTCGGTACTACATAAACTACAAATTGTCAATGAGCCGCAATACTATTAAGGCCGATATGTAGAGACCATGCATGTCTACAAAGTGAGAAAAGAAAATATTTCAAGCAATTTAATCCCTTACATCCTAGCACCTCTAATGAAACAATCCATGGAGATCACAGTGAAGCTATACACTGCATTGTCAATTTAGCAGTAAGGGCGAATTACCTCCCAGAGTACTTCCCATTTCGTATTGCGCATAGCAAATCACAGCAACCAATCATTAAAAAAGAACAGCGACTAAATTAAGTCGTATGTTGTAATAAGTAATGAAATCATGCCTAAATCATACTTAAAAGAGGATCTAATATGGGCCACTCAAATTGTCTGCAGAGTGTACTTGTCTTACCACAAAATGCATCTGGAAGTCCATCAACAAGTTGCGGTTTCCAAGCCTCTGATATTCTTCTTGGAATCACCATCGGATCTTCGACAATCTCCTCAGTCAATGTACCTGCTTCATGGTCCATCACACTAACCTTATCTTCTTTTGCTACAATCTCAATTGCTGGCTGAGCTCCAACCACACTGTAACGCCCCTATAGCCATCAATCCAACCTTAAAATTAACAACTCATAATAAAAAGACCAACCTCCTATGTGCAAAACAAAGAAGCAACGAAGGGCTCTTACCACAGTTGAAACCCGAGAACCAGGCTCCACAGACTCAAATAGAAAGCTAGGAGCCTCTCTATCATCTTCTTTCACCAAACACCGATAAGCAGTGATTGGGGTGAGCTGGTCAGAGAATATACAGGTGTGAAGAGGTACCAAATTTCCATTTTTAGCAGCTTCCTTGAACTTATTTGCATCAACGACTACAAGGAATACCAAACCAAAATTAAACTTAAAGCTTAGAAAACAGAGTTCCTATGGAATTTGTTCGATATCAAAATTAAATTCTAATGCATGAGAATCTTCTTTAAAAATCATTTATACACTACAATTTATTTTTGTTTAAATGAAAGAATAAAAATGACCAAAAAAATCGCACCTTGATTCTTTAATTATAATTTACCACAGAAATGACACTTTAATCAAATGTTGCTTAGTAAGCTGACTGCAAAAAAACACAAGATTTTTAGAGGGGAAAAAAGAAGCAGCAGCCAAACTTAATTTTAGTTGCTTTTCCCTCTTCTTCAGAGCAATGAAACAGGCAGCTAATCAAACACTGGATGCAAAATGAAGAAGAAAATACGATTCCTTCCTTTTTCAAAGTCTCATTAATACAAACTAATTAATCAGTATATTTCATGTTCCATTAGAAGCCACACTAAACAATTACTACTCAAAATTTTGTTTCCATTTCTCGCAATATTCTCAGCAAACAAACACTTCGCAATCAAAACAAACCTGAAGAATCACTGGAAAGGGAAATGCACTTGAGTGGACGGACACACGAGACTGAACTGGACCTCCTTGTAGGAATGCCGGTGGCTGGAACGGGACAGAGCCAGTGACTGGACAGAGACAGGCGGTTAGAGAAGCTTAGGGTTTGCATTTTCAGTAGAATCTTTAGTGTTTCTGTGTTCTTTGTAATAAAATGAAAACGCTTGCTGTTTTCTATTTTATTTTATGGATGCAGCTAGTTTCGCTTGTACGGCTCTTCTTATATTTGGGGGTGAAGACTGGAGACAGAAAGTCAATACAGGCAAGCTTTTGAAGTAATGACTCTGATAATAACACCTTGGGCTGTGTTTGATTGGGGGAACAAATTTCAGGAATTTATTTATTTTTATTTATTTTGTATTTATAAAAAAAGTCAATGAAAAATTATTTTTCAATCGATGAAAAATAATAGAGTATTTTTGAGAAAATACTTTTTTAGATTCAAAAGACGAAAACATTTTTCTTCTCATAAGCTTATCTCGTTCTGCGTTATTTACTTTTATCTCAATATAAAAGGTGTGTGCATCTATAATGAAGATTTTTCTTTTACTTCCTACCCATAAATTCTTCTCTCACTATTAAGCCAATTAATATACATACAAATTTTCTATCAATATTTCCTGAAATCTTACTTATTAAAAAAAAACTCATTTTTTTTCTAAATATAATTATTCATATCTCTAGTATGAAATGAGAATAGATATAAAAAAAAATTTTCCTTTTTTATCATCTCCTACTCCTCCTCTCTTCAACCTTCTAGTTGTTGTTGTTCATCATTTTAGGAATTTTGTTAAAAGTTTCTTGGTGGGAGTTTACTTGGACGTATATTGGATTCCCTTTCTATTTAGAGATTGGCAATGCTAGATTTGTTTTCGTGATGAATGAAATGTCAGATTTCAGATTTTGTTGATTTTGAGAGTTGGTGATAGAGATACATTGTTTGTGATTATTGGTTCCTTGTATTCGTGTTTGGACACAAATCAACTTTAATTTGTAGATAAGGATTAACCTAACTTAGTCGGATTCTCCTCTCGAAGGATATTGTGAGCTTGATTCTCTTTCTTTAAATTAGGAAGACAACTCAGTTGTCTTATGGTGCATTGAATGGCAATCAACCATTTATGGATTCTCTCGTTGACTTTTTAGAACGCGGAAAACCTGTGTTTTTAAAACAAGCAATGCATTCCATAACAGTGACAACTTAATCCATTGAATTTTTATTTCATTTTAAAGAAACATATTGGAATAAATTTTTCTAAAAATTCGTACCAAATAATGTGGTAATCAATGAATGATGAATTGTCAATCCCGAAAATATTGAATGATGGGTTAACTATGAAAAAAATAATCTCGCCTCTATTTGTATGAAAATTTTATATGATTTGTTTGTATGTACAATTTTGATCAGTTAAAAGACAATATATTTTTATTGATGGTTATTATTCTATTATAGATTAGACTTATTACTGATTGGACTAAATGCATAAAATTATTTTCAAAAAAATTAATTTATTTTGATGTCTCGTGTTATATTATGTGTCTATCAAAATATATTAAATTAAAACTAAATGAAAAACATTATAGATTAGACTAGTTTTTTACCCGCCATACGCTGCGAGTCGGACAAAATACATAAAATTATTTTTTAAAAAATTAATTTATTTTGATATTCTATGTTATATTGTGTGTCTATCAAAATATATCAAATCAAAACTCGAATAAAAATTCATTAAATTTTATCATTTTTAATTAAAAAAATTGTATTTGACTAATTATTCTTTATATTTTCATAAATTGTTTTATTAAAAAACATTATTTATTTATGTTTATCCACATTTTTAGCTAAAAACTTATTTTGTAAATTATTTTTTTAAAACATCTTTTTACCTTAAAATTTTTAGTTAAAAAATCGAAGGAAAAAAAAGCAAGAACCAAACTGATCAAAATACAAAAAAGTGGAACCAAAATCAAATAAAAAATATTTACGGACTAAAAGAAATAATATTTTTAAAAAATCAAAGTATAATGTCATGAAAACTTTTATAGTAAAATTATATAGATATCACTGTCTAATGAAAGAAATAGTACATATAAGTCTAGGTGATGCATATAGGTCTAGATAAATAGTATTTGGAATAGTGTAATGAATAGTAAATTTATGTTTTGGTTTATTTTTTTATAATTAACTCATTCAAAATTTTGTAGATAACTTCAATTTAGCATATCAGACGTGGGAAGATTATTGGTGGATTAGATAGAGTTTTCTTACAATGATGAACTACATAGATAACAAATGGTTTGAAACTCCTAATAAAGCAAGTCGGAGAGCGTAATAAATACTCTTTTTGTCCAAAAAAAAATCATTTCTATTTTTATCTGTATCTGTTCTAAAATATTTGTTAAGTCAAAATTTTAAGTGATTTATTTTTATTTTCCTTTTGTCCCAAAAAAATCATCTACATTTTTATTTATATATGTTCCAAAATTTTTGTTAAGTCAGAACTTTAAATGATGTATTCATTCAAAATATTTTTAATTAAAGTCCATCTTGTAAAAAAGTATTCAAATACAATTCTTTAAAAAATATATATTTGAAAATTATGAATAAAATATGTTAATATTACATAATAATTAATAATTTTTTTTGTCATATGTGAAAAACCAAAAGAGAGAATCTCTTTGTCATGGAAGTTGTAAAAATTATTGGGTATTCACTAAATTTTTACTCAAATTTACATAAAAGTGGCACACCTCTGCTTTGGACTGGTGGAGGAATCCTCTTCTTGGTCTGCGAATGCTTCTTACTGCTGATTATGCTTGTGTTTCTTTTGTTAAAAGATAGTCTTTTTTTTTTGTTTTACAGAACAGTTAGAATAAAAAAGCTAATATTATAATTTGGAAAAACAACTATTTATTTGATGCGATAGGCATGAAAGAAAAAGCAGACACGGCTGGCAAACACAAATAATGACTTCTTTTTTTTAAAAAAAAAAAAACTGTAGACTTTTGGGTATATCACGATAAGAACTTACCCCACCTCTTCCAGCTCCCCATTTTGGCCAATCACGCTCTGTGTAAAACACATTATATTAAGCCCAACCTCAAGGGATATTGGCGTGATACTCGATAAAATGTGCTTCCAGTAGGAACTTTGGTATTAGTATTCATAAAAAAATTATTTCTTCTAAATGCACGTTATAAAAAACCCTAAAAGACTCTTGATATATTATTCACACACTCATATAATATTCATTTTATAATATTTATGTAATTTTAAAATAGTGATATTTTCTTTATTTTAAGTACTTTTTAACATTTATTTTTGTTCACAACATTATTCACCCTCTTTTTACTATGCATTGAATGTTTTTTTTAATAATTTTGAGGTTTTTTTTAAAGTATTTTATGCTTAAAATTTTATTTATGTTATTTTTTAATCCCTCATTTTTTCAATAATTTTTATTTCGATCCACAACTTTATTTATATTATAATTTCATCCCCTATGATATATATATATATATATAATCTAAAGATTAAAAGTGTTTTTTACTTAATTTTTCTTAGATTTGTTTTAAAAAATATTTATAAGAAAAGTTATTAGTTAAGAATCTATGGATTTTTGAACTTTCTCATAAGTTTTTAGTTAAAAATCCAGATATAGAAAAATATATCTTGTTTTTTTTAGCCAAAAACTTATAAAAAATTTAATGAATAATTAGTGAAACACAAAAAAAATTTTAAAATAGTTTTGATTTGATATATTTTAATAGGCTCATAATATAATTAGTATCATCAAACTAAAATTGTTTTTTAAAATAATTTTACATGTTGTGTCCGACTGCAATATAACGTGGATAAAAACTAATGTCTTCTATTTTTTATAACAAAAACACGAATAAACATGAGTTTTTTGTGTAACAGCGAAAACGAAAATTATAAACTGAATCATAAACGTATCCCATATTTAATTAGGAAATATTCCACATGCAAATGGAAGTGATTTTTATAACTATAGTCTCGTGATTTTTTCAGATATGCTATGTAATAAAGAATGGAGAAGGAAGACATCCCAAATCTTCAAACATTTTTATTTTCCTTTAATGCGCTGATCCTGTCTTTTTTCTTTTCTTTTTTCTTTTTTTCTTTGTCTCTTTCTTTGTTAACGCTTGGTGACGCAATTATTCTTTAAAATTAAGGTCAGTAGAGATGGATTTTTGGGGAGACTTATGTATGAAAAAGGATTATTATAAGAAATTAAGGCCAGGCATAGGATGGGATCCTGTTTCAGGGAGGAAATGAAAATGATTTTTCCAACGATTTCAAATGATTTGATTTGCTTAAACTATGGTTTTTTTTTTTTTTTTTTTGACATTTATACATATAATCGCCCGTAGTATTCCATGGAGCCACTTGCAATTCATTAAAATCTTATCTTACGGGTCAATTGTAATATTCTATGCATCAATTATCCACGTGTTTTTTAACGTGAAAAATGCAATATTTTTTATGCGTGAATAATCAGTCTATCTATACACATGCTCTCTTTATTCTATACACATAAAAAAATTCCATTATAAATACATCAATTTTTTGATCTTTTCTTTTAATTAAATATATAAATTTTAATTTTCTTTCATTTGAGTATATTGATTTTTTTAAGATTCTCAATCAAATATTTTTTATTCAATTTCTGTTAGTTATTTTGTTATCTATTGACATATCTTTATTTTTATATCATTAAATTATGATTTTGTTTGATAGTAGCTAACATTTTGGACTCGTGATTACTATAAAAATGTGTTTTTAAGTGTTTTTTTAAAAATTAATTTCAGTTGATATATAAACCTAATTCAAGAATTATTGTGGAATAAAGAGAAAAAAATATATATTTGATATACATGTACAATAGCAAGCTATATGTCTTAAAAAAAGCCATTTGAGATTATTATTATAAGTAGATCGACATCTGTTTTAATTGATTCGCATCCTCTTTCTTTTGACAAAATGCAAATTGAACTCATCTGCTTTGTTATGTCCAAAGCTTCCGTCAAAATTCACGTATTGCTTAATTTTTATTTTTATTTTTTTAAAAAAAACCCAGGTTAAACTTC